GGTCTGGTCTTGAACCAGTTTTGCTGGTATGCTTCTGCACAGTCAGTCTGGAATTTCTAGTGACGCACAGCAGTTTCCCGCCAAAGCACAAGGGGGAGCCTATTCGAGAACTCACGATAACTTCGGCGGACGGTCACAAGAACTTGTCGGCGCCAGTGGGAGTGTTTATCTTCCAAAACAACAATGGAGCATCTGCAAGATATCACGGTCATGGAGATGGATCTAGAGTTGCTAGACATCAAAGAGGAACAAGTTCTATTAACGGATTAACCTTTAGTCGTAGTTGTCCATTGTAGTTGTTTCTCGCTTTTTTAAAAATGGCGTGCCCCTGTACCGAATTGAGAAGGACGACCACACGGACAGCTGGAAAGGCATACCAAGGACCAATCACATCTGCTTTTTGTCTGCTCACTTCCGCTTGAGGTCTGCGCGGGTTTGCGACCGTCTGACGCATAAGGATTTTTTTTTTTAGGTGCGTGACATTGGATGAAGACCAGAGCTACAAACCCTTCTGGGCAGCGTATTTCCCCTTATGACATCATAAAGGGAAGGTTTTACAAGCAGAGTATTTCAAGCTCACATTAGCTAAGAGATAGAGAAAGGCAATGATAGCAGGGAAAGGGTTTTTTTCATATGTAATTCTCCTTCAGGACTCATATGACTGTTAGAAAGTGTTTAAAATGTGAATTTAGCATAACATGGGACCTTTAAATCTGACCCCACTATTAGTTAATTAGGAAACAAACAATGATGGGCCATCTGAAAAACTGAGTGCACCCTTACTGCTTTCTGTGGGTTAAAGAGAACAGGTGTTGCTTATTAAAGTAACTACTAGTGGAGCTCCTATGCAGACTGGAAAGGTTAGGAATTCAAATTAAGGACCTGGAGAAGTATGGAGAGATAATTTTATTTACACCTATGCCGTGATCTTGTAGTTTTTTGCCCCTCCCACGTTCAATCTTCCTTCTTTATATGTTTTTTTTATTCCCATTTTCCTCATATTTCCTCATTTCTGTTGACCCACCTATGTTCCATTCCTTCCTTCTGTCCCTTTACCTCCTTCTACTTTTCATTCCTTTTTCGCATCCAAATGTCGCTTTCCTCTGTCCTGATTTAATTTCTTTTTTCTATCTTTAAATCCTGCTTGCTCAGTCAGTTTATGGTCGACTTTAAATCTAACATTATGCTTTGAAAAATCTGCAGTTTGTGTTGAAAGGTTTCCCTATTTTTTTACATCCAGAGAAACATTTTCTGACTGATATTTTTGATCGATATTAATTTTTTTGTTGTTCTTGTATCCTTATAGGTTGAGATGTGTGTTTGCTGATTCGTTAGTGCATTTAACATTCATGCTTTGAGACAAAAAGCTGTCTTTCTGCCCAACTAAAAAGCAAATTTTAAGTAAACTTTTCAAAGTTTGCTTAAAATGGACATTTGCGACATTTCCAGTCTGTTTAAAGCAAATTAGCCAAGTAGCACAAAGCGCACTGTCGTCATACACCGTTGATGCATTTAGGTTGGATGATGATGAAGAGCAGCAAAAATGACTAAAATCGGACGTCTCTTTTCTAAATCCGCCATGCAGACTTTAAAGCCTGCAGCAGCATAAACAACCTTGCAGATGAATCACACTTCTAGTCTCTCAAGTGCTACCTTTATTGCCTCTGCATCCATGTTGTGTTATTCTGCTACAGTTGTGCATCAGGTCGACGGCGCTTTCAAGGCTTTCGGTTATAGGCTGTTGATGCACGGCGCAAACAGTTGCAGCTTTGCCACCTTGATCACAGAAAGCTGTTAGAAAAGCTTTAGATGTCAGGATCTGGGGGGGTTCAATTATGGCTGAACTGATGCTGCATCTTTAGGGGGGGTTTTGTCCGGAGTCACCTCTCTGTGCTGCTCTTTCTGTCCTCATTCAAAGAACAGTCTGTATGGAATCTCCATTTTTCAGTTTTATATAATAAATATTGACAAATGAACCAGATAATTATCTTTATTAATATAAATCATATCGCTGTAGTCTTTCTCCCTTCATTTACGTCCTTTCATGTTTTTTTTTGTTTTGTTTTACATTCTAACACCTCCATGTAATTCCCTCCTTTCCTTACTCCTCCTCTGACCTCCCTCCTCTTTCTTCAGTCTCTTGGGGTTGCTGGTTCTAATCCTCCCTGCTCTAAATATATCCACTTTAATTTCCTAGTAAACTTTTGCCTCTGCTTTGTTCAGGAAGTCTGCTTTAAAGCTTGGGTTAGGAATAAACAAACATTTTTACGATTTCATAGAAGCAGAGTTGTAGAGCAGTGAGCTCTGTCTAAAAAAAAAACTCCTTTTCACTAGCAATGATGCGATTTCGGTTCAGCTGTCTTAAACCAACGTAGAGCGGCGGGTAATTAGATTGTAATAATGCGGCTGTTCCACTTGTACGATTCCGCGGACGTCTCCTGAGATGGTTGCTGATAAACAGCTGCCCCTTTCCTCTGTGCCCACCTCTCTCCCTATGTGGTCACATCACTGCTGCTCCGAGGCCCGTTATGAGTCAGCATCACCACCAGCTGGGAGCAGCGTGGAGCTCCGTCATACTGACTTAAGATCTTAAAGCGTCGACGAGTCAATGAGCTTAATGGCCACAAACCAGAACTATTAGATCCAGCAAATGATCTCTTATTAATAATTATGTGGAAAAATAATGAATTTTATTTTTAATTTTAGTTGCCATAATGTCCTTTTAACATTAAGTAACAATTTTTTTTATCTCTTTTGTTCAAAAGATAATACATACAGGTTTAACTGAGATGTTACTATATCCACTCTGATTTATAAACACTGATTTTAATGAGGGCTGTTTAAATTTTCTACTCTTTGGCTCAGATCACTACTTTTACTTTATCAATTTGCTGTTAAATGTTAATATACTGATGTTTTCGTGTTCCCTAACTACCCAGACATGTTATTCAGGAAGCTACTAAGAATTTTTTTCCAATACTATCATTTCAATTTGAAATTGAAGCGAGAAGAATCAATTCTAAATGTTAAGAATAGGAATGAAATCGACTAATGAAATTTGAATCAATATCCAGCCCTAATTTTAGGATGTTTATCAGCCTTTGAAATCATGTGGCTCACATCGCTGGTTCAAGATCAGTGTTTTTTATGAAAACCGTCCGAACCGTTTGATTCGACTGTCTCGATTCGGTTCGGTTCATGCGCTGCTCCTTTTTCTCATAGGGGAAGCGTTTACACTCCAGAGCA